GACGCCGCGTGATGTTGCCGCCCGCATCATACTCGGCAACTATCTGGTCACCTGCGTAGCCGAACCTAGTGATGCCGCCGCCATTGACGGCGGTGTAGGTCAGACGGCCGAGTGCGTCATAGGCAAGTTGAGCGCCGCTGTTCGAACCTGTCAGATGGCCGAGCATATCGTATGAATAGCTGATCCACCATTGGCATCCGATATGAGATTTCCGCGACCATCATAGCCCAGTGCGCCGGTGCCCCACTTGCGTATACTGATTGAGGGCGTTGCTCGTGTAGGCGCGATCCGCTGCGACTGGGCGGTCGGGCGTAGCTGTCGTTCGAACGCGTCTGGATCGTCGTGCGGGAAAGCTGGTCGAAGGTCGAATTGTACGTGACATCGGCCATCGTGCCCGCAAGGTCACGGCTCAGGCTCGCCAGACGCGAAAGGCCATCATAGCCGTAACTGCTTGATGTGCCATTGCCGCGAGAGAGCGTGGTGCGACGCCCGAGGGCATCATAGCCATATTCCCCAACACTGTCGCACCGTTCTCACGGACGCGCTGCAACAGCCCGTCGGGACGGTATTCATAGGAGGCGAAGAAGCCATCGCTCGGGTAACCCGCGTACGATTACCCGCAGCATCGTACAGGTACGATGTGGCACGGGGTCCGATCCCACCCGGATTACTGGTTTCCGACATCATGCGACCGAGGGCATCGTACGCCATCGCAGTCGTATTGCTCCATGGGGCCTGACCGTTGCCGTTCGATGCCGAGGTGACGCGACCCAGCAGGTCATAGCCCAGTGATATGTTGCTGTTTGATCCGCCAGCGGGAAGGCTGATGGTGGTGATTTGCCCCAGCAAGTCCTGCCCAGGGAAATCGAGGGGGGCGTCGCGCTGGCGCAGCGAGGTGCACATCGCCGTAGCCGTTGCGATTGATATATTCATAGCTCTGGTCGGCGTAGGTCGTCCGGAGCAGCCGGTCATAGCCGTCATATTGATAGCTGGTCGTGTTGGACGGCGTCGGTGACGCTCGTAATCTGACCATTACCGCTATAAGCATAGCTTGCCATGACGACGCCATTCAGCTTCTCGTGGTGAGTCGCCCGTCGCTACCGTAGCTCCGTTCCCGAACGTCGTCGAACTGGCACCGCCGTTCAGGACCGCACAGGCATCGCCCGACGCACCGCCGCTTCGCGCTGCGGTGCAACGCAGCCGGTCGTCATTGTCGTAGGTATAGTCAGTCAGCTGCGAAACAGAGCCCCCCTGTGTCACCGTCGCGCTTGGTCGGCCCTTAGCGTCATATTGCGTCGTGACCGATTCGAAGCTGAGAATGCATTCCCTGCCGCATCATCGAGCCCGGTGACTGTGCCAACGGCGACGGAACTGACCCGTCCAGCGCCGTCGCGGGTGGTTCGCGTGGCGCGTCTGGTACCCGAGCCATCGGCCGCAGGTATGCTTGTCCGCCGTTTGCTGATTCCTCAACTCCCGTGGGCGAGGTGTATCAGGGGTATGGCCTGCCTTGCCCATCGAGCGACGAGCGGCCGGTTTGTATGAATCCCATTCTGTTGTAAAACCTACGGCCCGCTCGTTCTGCTCATTCACGTCTGTCGTCATGCCCGGTATAGCACCAATCCATGCCGGACCAACGCAGCGCCGATCCCATGCCCGGAATGCAGTCGGATCGATAAACAATGCTTCCATGTGACCATTATCGATCAGCATGAAGCCAAGCGGGCGGTCGTCTTGATCGACTGCAAGCGTTAGCGGCGCTTGCGGAAGGAAGGCGCAGACCTCCTGACCTATGGCAATGCGATCCTCGACTGAAAGAAAGAAGTGCGTGGCGTCAACTGCACCACGCCATATTTCTAGAATGCGCGCACCGTCGGTGGGGCGGGAGGACCCATTGTGAACATCGCTGCGGAATAGCGTGGAATTTTCACGACATTCAACTGGCGCAAGGCCGGCGGCCTGCCTTCCCGATTGGGAACCGCCAGCTAGACGGCCCGGGGCATTCCCATTGGGATCGAGTTATGGGAAAGCGGAACGGCTCTCATAAACTTTCCCGAATGACGGCCATTCATTGCTTGAGTCTGTGTCGACCCAAACAACGGCGCTTGGCCTCAGGCAAGCGCGGATAATCAGGATGTAGCGCTTGAGCCACAAGTTTTATCGGCCTACCCCAACCGCCGCCGAGTGCAAGGAAGAGGTCAATCTGCCGATCGACTAAGCTGGCGCGCGCGCGGACGACAGGCTTGTTTGCGCGTCGGCGTAGCTGGCCTGCGCGTTCAATACGTCGAGGAACGGTGTGCGACCGAAGCGTTGCAGCTTTTCGGCGTCCCCGCTTGCCTTGCCGGCAGCTCCCGCCGCGCGTTCCAGCGCGTCTAGTCGGTCGCGTGACCGCGCATAAGCGGACAGGGCGGTTTCGGTCTGTTGAAGGGCCAGCAACACCGAACCATCGAAGCCCGCGAGCGCGGCGTCGCCATCAGCACCGGCCTCATCGATCCTCGCACGGACCGCCTTGCGGTTGGGAAAGGACCGGAGACCAGCGGGCCGAGACTGAAGCCGAACGACAGAAGGCGCCAGCGCATGGCCGACTGACGTAGCGGTTCCCGCCGAACCGCCGAGGCTGATACGGGGTAAAGATCGGCTTCGGCGACTCCGATGCCGGCGGTTGCGGCGCCAGCAGCCGTTCGGCTCGCCGGATGTCGGGGCGGCGCTTGAGCAGCATCGCACCCTCGCCGATCGGCAGCGGGCGGCGGGCGACGGTATTGTCGTGCAGCCTTCCAGCTCGCGTGGATAGTCGGCGGAACGCGTCCCATCATCGCCGCCAGCGCGAAACAACGCGGCACGCCGGTCGGCGAGGATGTCGGGGATGGCGGCTTCGCTGGCGAAGACGGCGCGCGTGCGCGATCGCTGTCGAAGCGTGTGCCGCGGCCGCCGCGCACCATTCGTAACGCCACGTCGAGGGTCGAACGCTGGATCGTGACGACGTGCCGCGCAGCGGCGAGCGCGACGCCGTCGGCGCAGACGCGCGCATAATTGCGGGTGACACCTGTATCGCCGCGGACGATGTGGATCGTGCCGCCGGGCTGCGGCATCTGGATTCCGGGCGGGTGCCGCACAGCGCGCGCGCGACCGCGAATGCGCGGGTCGACTATCTGTTCGTCGAGCCCGGCGCGAGCAGGTTTCCCGACCATTGCTGCGCGCTGGAGTTGACCGCGATGATCCGCGCGATGATCGATCGCCTAGCGCACGAGCCGAGCGACTTATCCCCGGACGGACATGCCGCCCGCCCCGCCCGGGTGATGCTTGACGAGCTGGCCGAAATGCCGCGCCAGCGCCTGAACCTGCCGGTGTCGGGCGATAGCAGGATCTGCGCCATCGCCGACGCGCTGACTGCCGCGCCGTCGGACCGCAGCACGCTTGCCGGTTGGGCCGTCCGCGTCGCGATGAGCGAGCGGTCGCTGGCGCGGCTGATGCTGCGCGAGACCGGCCTGACCTTCGGCCGCTGGCGCCAACAGCTCCACCTCGTCGTTGCGTTACGCGAGCTGGCGAGCGGCGCCAGCGTCCAGCAGGTCGCGGCCGAATCTGGGCTACGATTCGGTCAACGCGTTCATCACGATGTTCCGCAAGGCGCTCGGCAGCACGCCAGCACAGTATTTTGCGCAGCGCCGGGCATGAACTGCTCTGATCCCGGAAACCTCGCCGCCTCACGCGGTAAGACGCGCTCATCCGGATCGCGAGCGGTCGCTCACCCCAGCAACGTTCCGATCTGTCTCTCTTCAGCCTGCATGTCCGATCAGAAGAGCCCCCATGGCGACAACCGGGCAGGCCGTGATCCGATAACGGCTCAGTCTTTCGTGCAGGAAGACGCGTCCGATCAGGGCCGCGAAGACGACACTTGTCTCCCCGCAGCGCCGACACCGGTCCCATCGTGCCGTGCGCCATGGCAAAATGACGATGCCATAGGCCAGAAGCGAGGCGAGCCCCCACCGGCCGCCACCAGCATTTCCCTGCGCCCGCGCACCAGAGAACGGGCATCCTGCAGCACGATGTAGGTCGCCCGGCGCGAGCAGGCCCCACGACAGGCACATCCAGACGGTGTAGCCGACAGGCGAGCCGGACAGCCGCACCCCTGACGCTATCGGTCACGCTGCAGGCACCGATGAAGCAGCCGGTGCCAAGCGCGAAAAGTAATGTCTGCCGCCCGATGGCCCGCCCTTGGAAGGCCAGCGCAACGATGCCGCCCGACACCAGCAGCACGCCCGTCAGACTGAGCGCGTCTGGCAGCTCGCGCGCGAAGACTGCGGCACCGAGCGAGACCAGAAGCGGCGAGGCGCCGCGGGCGATCGGGTAGGTCTGCCTGAGATCGCCTTTGCCGGTAGGTGCGCACGAGGAAGAGGTTGTATCCGACGCAGCAGCGCCGATAAAGCGACGCAGCCCCCAACTCGCTGTTGCGGAACCGGCACGAAGGGCGCCATCAGGGCACAGGCGAGTGCAATGGCGATACACATGATCGTCATCGACCAGAGCCGGTCGCTGCCTCCGCGTAGAAGGGCGTTCCAGCTCGCGTGCAGAACCGCCGCGAAAAGGACGATCAGGCTGATGCCGATGGACATGAGCCTCCTTGCCCAGCTGGATGGTCGAGTTCCATGAGTTACCGCGTCGCCTTCGTCCGCGCGGTCAGCTGGCGGCCATCCGGATCGCGGAGATAGGCGACGAAAACGCTGTTCGGGCGCTCGCACGGGGTTTCGATTGATGCGCCGCCATGCGCGGTGCCGGCCTCGTGCCAAGCGCGAACATGATCCGCGCTGATGGCGGCGATGCCGATGGTTCCGCCATTGGCGACAGTCGCCGGTGGCCATCGATCGGCCGGGTGATCATCAGCCGCCCACCGTCGTGATCGTAGATCAGCCGGCCTCTCATCCCTCTCGCTCGGCTTGCCGCCCAGCGCCGTGAACGTAGCGTCATAGAAGGCTCTGGATCGCTCAAGGTTGTTGCTGCCGATCATGATGTGCGTGAACATATGTCATCCCAAGAATAAGACCGGACATACGGGATTGCAGGTTGGCTGTTCGCCGGTTCGTTTGAACGGCATCGCCGTCGGAAATGGCTGGCGGATGGCTCCGCCGACCCCAAACGAACTTTTTTACTTGCGGTCACCATGATACGCTTCTTGGGGGCCTATCGGCGTCAGAGTCGTCACTCTGATAAAGTAGCCGCCCTTGCCCGGAAATAGAAGGACCAGCACCATGCGCCTCGTGCGGCGCCTGCGTTTCCCAGCCGTCGCCGCTTAGGGCGGGCATGCAGGGCATCGACGGCATCGTTTCGACTTGGATGAAGCCGACATGCAGAATGTCGAGCTGCTTTGGGTATTCGAAGCCGTCGAGCTTGTTTTCGAAGTGGTTGACGATCAGCACAAGGCCATCATCGTCCTGCATGATCGCTATTCGTCGTGCCGCGCACGACCAGCGTGCGCAGCCCGAAATAATGTTTCGAAACATAGCGCGGCCGGCTTGGTGTCGTGGCTGTAGAGGTTGATGATTCAGCTTCATGGTCGCCTTCCGTTGGTGAGACGGACACGAGCCGATCGTGGTCAGATCGACGACCGGCCACGCACGAGGGCAACTCGTTGTGTCCGGCCACGGCCAAGAGCGGCATCACCTGCTCAAGCGTGACTGTTCCGCAAGAGACCGCAGGTTGTCACCATACCTGCATCGCTGTCTTTTTAGGCGCTTAGCAGTTTAGTCCGTGTACACACTGTGCGTCAAGCGAAGGGAGCTGGCTTCAGAAACGAAGGTTCAGAGGGGACAGCATCGGCGAGCTCAGGCTACAGACGCCTCCCGATCCAGCCGTTTTCCCAAAACCTGTTCCTGATTGCATTTTCCCGAAACGGCTCGTCGGCGATGGAGAAACGGGACTGCTGCGATAAGTTGAACGGCTGGCCGGGATGCCCGCGCCGATCTGCTAAAAACGGCAAACGGTGGATCGGTCTGTTTGTCGCTGTTTGAGGCGGCGACGACCCAGTTGTGGACATCCGCGACGCCTCTTAGCTTCCGAACTTCGGCCACTCCGTTCACCTACTCAACGATGGTTTGGCCACCACGTCATCTTGCATCGGCATGTAAATGGGCGACAGCGTTGCCGCGCTCTGGTCAAGCAACCCGAATTTGGGCGGAGGAAGGTTCATGCGGTACGCAGCACAGGCTCGGGAGCGCGCCAATGCGCGACGGCGGAAGCGCGATCGGGCCGCACGGTTGCTCGCGTTCAACACGCGATGGCAGCCTTTGCTCGATACTGCATCAAGCCGGGGACTAGCTTGGCTGGTGATGAGCTTCCTCTCCGGCTGCTGCTTAATGATTATTTGGGTGCGATCGGCTAAACAGGGTTCCGCTCGACCTCGCCGGAACACGGGCCGTGTTTGTCCTCCCGGCGCCCTGCTCGTGCTTGCATTGGCGGCGCTGGGCGCGATGTTCACCGGTGGTGCCCCGATGGCGGCCTCGCTCCACAATGGGCCAGCCGGCGTTTTTCGGGACCCGCGCCGGTTTCTTCGCCGGAGCGGCTATGGCGCTCGTAATCCTTGTTTCGTGGTCGGCGGCCTTGGCGGGAGCATCCTGCTCGCTATCGGCATTGCCCTGCCGGTGAGCGTCGCTGCGGGCCTCCCTTTTTCCACACGCGTCAGGAGCAGTTTCTGGAGCGAAGGCTACGCCAAACCCGCCGGCTTGCTGATGTTGTGGGTTAGTACCGCCACCTTGCTGTTTCTTGTCTTGGCCATCAATCTTGACTCGGTACTTCGCCTGCAGTTCGGCGGCGCCAGCCATTTGCGATCGCGCTGGCGATCCGGCAGGGCAGATGATCCTATGCTTCTTACCGCCACGGGGTTGGGTACTGGGGCACGGTTCTTGGGGTCGTATGGATATTGACAACGTTCTCGCCAGACCGCGGATAATGGTTTTGACCGCGCTCTATCTCACCAACCTTTTGGTGGAGGCGTTCCGGCAACCGCGCTTTAACGCCTAAGGCGGCCGGGACCTGCAACCCAGGAAACGCCGATCGTCCTGTCCTTACGCTGCTAACGGTGCGCACCAAGCAGGTTGCCCCACAGCACCTCCGGCAACTTTGTTAAAAGCGCCCAACCTCGCCACGCGAGGCTCCATCATCGCTCGCTGGCGCCGCACGGTGGATTAGCCGCAAGCGACATGCGACTAGGAAGACGTTTTTCGTTGATCCGTGTCAACACTCAGCCGGCGGACCATCGCTTATGGATAACCCACGGAAAACCTGTCGCAACAGACCCACATCCGGTCATTATGGTTGCCTTTTTTGCCCCCACCTTCTGCCATTCATCCATGGGGGAGCGGAGGAGGTGCTAAGCCTCAGCCCCTGCCCGCTGCTCGCCAGCTTTTCCCAAAAAGGACGATTGATCGAGAACGAGAATGTTTTCAAACTCACCGCTGGTGAGAATACTGGGGATCAGTCGGTTACAGATTGGCGAGGTGGTTGCGCCGCACCCTCCCGTATCGTGACGGCATGAACATTGGCCAACTTGACGCCGCGATCCGGGCGGGCGCTGTGGGCACGATCCTCCGCTGGCATGGCTGCTATTCAGCGCACGTCGGCGGTCGGCTTGCCCGCGGCACTGTTCGTACCCTGGGGCTCTGCCCGTCCGGCTTCCCCATAGGCAACACGCCGGTCGCCGCTCTATCTCCAGCCGGGATTGCGGCGCCATCACTCACATCGCGAGCGGTTTCACGGTCGTCTTCCTATGGTGGTTCTGCCTGTCGCTTCGATAGCCGGTTCAGGTTGGAGGGGCGTGCTGGCCGTCTGTCTGACTTGGGCCGCCATTGCCACAGTGGATCGCGGGTGCTCGGTGCGCCGCGCCTGCGGACAAGGGGTGGAAGCGCTATGGACCGTCATTACCAAATTGGTTGACGTCGAGAAAAGATGACGGGGCGAATGGCACCCTTACCTTCCGGGTCCGAAACCCACCCCTATGGTTGGCGGCGCGGAAGTGACGTCTGAATAGCCATTCCCAAGTCGCCCAGTTATACTAACGGAATATGCGCGTTGGCGAGAACCGAGATGTCCGTGTTTGGGGGCGTTAGCGGATACGTGGCGCTGGGAGAGCGGTGGAGGCCCCGCTGCCTTCTGTAAGGCCCCAGCTTTTCCCTCGCCGGGTCTAATCCACCGGCCCAGCTGAGAGAACGCCCAGCTTAGATCCCTGACGGCATGTCTGCACTGCTGCGAGCTGCCCCCCCCCGCCACGATGACCCAACGTCGGCCATTATTCAACGGCGCGCGGCCCCTCCCGAAAGCGGACGCTCGTTAATTGCAGCCGGGCCGCTGTTTGCCCAGCTAGCGTCGCATCACCGATCTGCATTCTGTCCGCCCTTCGATGACGATCGCCGGCCCGTCCGGAGACCGTGGGGGAAACCTTCTGCATGATCCTTTCGAAGAGATTGGAAGCGAGATGATCGGCGAGCTATGGCTTCAGCCGTGGCAGGACAAGTCGTCGAACCACGCTCCATCGACCCCCGGCGAACTGCCTTACGAAAGGCATGACGGCGGCATCCGTCAGACCCGCCTTTGTGCCGCCGAGTTGACCGCCAACCCCTGATCCGCATCTCCAGATCTTGTAGAAAACTCGAAGCCGAGATCACGATGCCGGGTTGGGTCCGAGCCATAGCGATCAGGGATATTTGTACCGGTCGAGGTGGTGCTTGAACACTTCTGTCATTGGCTGCGATCAGCGCAGGATCGTCACGAGCGAGCCAATTTTCCGGGTCCCGATACGCAGCGCCCAACGCATGATCGCGAGGTTTGTCGAGCACGACACCTTCCGCCGTCACAAGCACCGGCACTGTGCCCTTGGGCGACGCGTGGAGCAGTTCCGCAGGCTTGTCGGAAAGCCTGACCTCCAGGAAGGCATGGCGCACGCCACCGATGCCCAGTGCCAATCGCGCCCCTCATCGCGAACGGACAACGACGAAAGCTGTACAGGATGGCGGCCATCATCCCGCATACTGCTCCATTCCTTGCCACAGAAACTTCGACAGGGGAACGCTGAACGGCGCGCCCGGATAAGTGGATTGCCGTAGCCGGGGGGTAATGGAATGATGCGACGATGCGGATATCAAAGTCAGTCGTCCTCGCCCCTGCTCCCCCGCGGGTCCGGCGAACGCCCAGATCGTCGCCCAGCCTTCGGCCGGCACCCACCACGCGCGGTGGCGGCCGTATTATAAGGCCGCACTACGTTTCCGGGTTTCAACGCCGGTCGGACCCCGGCGCAGATCGATGCCGACGAACTGACCGGCATCTATCCCGAATATGACAAGATCGTGCCGACGCTCACCGCGCAGATCGACCGTGCCCGTGGGTCCGCGTCGCCTTCGACCCGCGCTGCCACCGCGATACGCGGTCTGGCGCGATGGCCGTGAGCTGCGTGACGCTGCCGATCGGCAGCAAGGCGCCCGCGGGCAAGGCACGTGGCCCCACCACCACCGGATCGCGGTGGCAGATCCCCGCCCATGGCCGCAGGGCGATGCTGGCATCGCGGCGCGCCCTTCCGCGCCGCTGACCGAGCTGTCGGCAAAGCGTTCGCCGGTGCCTATGGCGCCGGTGCGAAGACGGTGGGCGTGGATCGTCGAAAGACGGCAAAATCATTGCCGAACGCTATGGCAGCGGCTTTGGGGCCGTACGTCGAACCGACCTGGTCGGTGGGCAAGTCGATCGCCGGAACGTTGATCGGCCTTGTCGATGCCGGCGCGCTACAGGGCCAGCCGTCGTGCCGCAGTGGAGCGCCGGTGACCCGCGACAATCGATCACGCGCTCGACAACCTTCTGCGTATGGCGTCAGGCCTTCATAGCGACACCGCCGGCAACCGCACCGACGCGATCTATTTCGGCGGCACCGCAGTCGACGAGCAGGCGGTGTCCCGCCTTTGAGGCCCAGCCTGGCACGCGCCGCTATGCGAATAACGACATCCTTCGCCGTCGGCGCCACACGGCAGCGGATTGGCGAGACAGATCGCATGTGGCCGAAAAGTTGTTCGGCACGCTTGGCATGACGCACACGGTCGCGGAGACGGATTGGCACGGCAACCACGTCCTCTCCAGCCGTGTGTGGTCGACCGCCCGCGACCTCGCGCGCGGCTTTGGGCTGTTCCTGGTCCCGTGACGGCGTCTGGGCGGCAAGCGCCTGCTGCCTGCGGGCTGGCTACGCACCATGACGACGCCGAGGGACCCCAGCCGCCGAGCGGCCCCGGTTATGGCGCGACGATGTGGCTGTTCGGCCCCCGACAGGGCTGCCGGTGGGCAGTTTTGCTGCACAGGGTAACCGTGGACAGTATGTGATGGTTATTCCTGCGCAACGTCTGGTGATCGTGAGACGCGGCGAGGATCCCGGCGCGCCTGTTTCGACATCGCGCGCTTTGCCGCCGATGTCGCCGCAGCGCTGCCCCAGCGCCACGCTCCCTCGCCTAGCGTGCTACCGCTTCGTGAACACCGCTTGGGCAGCGTCTCCTCAATAGGCCAGCGCACAGCCGTCGGCGCGCATCTCGCTCGCCGCGGCATAGACGCGGGTCGCGCCGTCCATGCGATGCTCGACACATTCGTAGCGGCCGAAGCCGCCATCGGGCCTGCCGATCGTCCAGCCGATTCCGCAAGCCGCTGCCGCGTCGCCGCGGGCACGCCCGTCTCCCGTGCGCAGCAAGCCACGGGCCAAGCCCAGCGGCATCCTCCCCCATCGACTGCGACGATCCCTCATGGTGCCAGCGCGGCGCATCGCCCGCCGACTGGATCTCAAGGCCATAGTCGACACGGCTGACGATGATCTGCGTCTGCCCCTGCGGCTGCATATCGCCGCCCATCACGCCGAAGCTCATCCACGGATCGCCGCCGCGCGTGGCGAAGCCGGGAATGATCGTCTGGAACGGTCGCTTGCCGGGCGCATAGATATTGGATGGCCGTCCTTCAGGCTGAACAGCCGCCCGCGATCCCGGAACGAAGCCCAGCCTGTCGGCAACTGTGCCCGACCCCATGCCGCGGAAGTTCGACTGGATCATCGATACCATCATGCCGTCCTTGTCGGCAACAGCTGAAATAGGTCGTGTCGCCATGGCTGGGCGCCCGCCCCGGATACACGGGATCGAGGATGCGGTCGGGTCGGATCAGCCTCGCCCGCGCCTGCGCACATATTCCTTCGAGATCAGCCATTCGACCGGCACCTGGCTAAAATGCGGGTCCGCGTAGAACCGCGCCTGGTCCTCATAGGCGAGCCGCTTCGCCTCGCCCCGGAGATGGATCGACAATGGCGACTGAAGCCCGCATCGCCTGTGTCGAAATTCTCTAGGATGTTGAGCATCTGGAGCGTGGCGATGCCTTCGGGTGTTCGCGCCGAGCGCATAGACGTCCACGCCGCGATACCCCGTGCGGTGCGGCTCCACCCATTCCGACCGGTGTGCGGCCATGTCCTCGAAGCGCAGCCAGCCGCCGATCCGTTGAAGTAACGGTCGACGACGCGCGCGATGTCGCCAGCATAGAAGTTGCGTCCCGCCCGCCCTTCGCGATAGGTGCGCGCGCGAGGTCGGGACAGGAACACCGCCCGCCGCCGGTCCCCTGCCGTCGGCCGTGCCATAGGTGCGCAACGCGTTGCCGTCTCTTCGATGCCGTTGCCCGGCCGGCGGAACGCGGCCATGCTGCGTCGGGTGTAATAAGCGATGATGTCGGGCACGGGCACTCCTGCCTCGGCATGGGCGATCGCCGGTTCGAACAGTTGCGCCCGTGGCAGCCGGCCATAGCGTTGGTGCATCGTCCCCACGCATCGACTGCCCCCGGTACCGACACGGTCACCGCGCCCAGCGGCGGCAGCGCACCGCCCCGCGCCCGCGACCGCACCGTCTCCGTGTTGAGCCCCGCGGCGACGCGCCCGATCCCGCCAGCCCGACGACCTTGCGCTGCTTCGGATCCCAGATCATCGCATAGCCATTGCCGCCAATGCCGCTGGAGGTCGGCCCAGAAACCCGGAGACAGGCATTGATCGCGATGGCGATATCCACCGCCGACCCGCCTTGCCGCAGGATGTCGATGCCGGCCTGGTCGCCAGTGGATGGGCCGTACCGCAGCGCCGTTGAGCCCATATGCCGCCGTGCGGACGAGAAGCTCGCCCCGACCGGCCGATCGCCCGCGGTGACGTCGGGGCGCAAAAAGCGATCGGCACCCGCCTCCCAACGTTTCGGGAGCGATGGCATCACCGGCTGAGGCGCGCCGCTTCGCCCCTGACCCGCACGCCCCGCCCACCGGATACACGCGTATTCGCCTGCTGTGGTTCTGCGATAACCGAACTGGGCAAAAGCGCCGCCCCGGCACGGCGGCAAGAAAAGTTCGACGACGCATGATGGCTACCCGCGGTGCTGGTGCGCATCCTCACCAACGTGCCGGACAAGTACAAGGTGTATCGACGCGTTTCGGGTCTGCTGTTCGTTTAGCGTGCCGGTTTCTGCCCTGTTCGCGCTTGATCGTCGCCTGCCAGCTGACAATCACACTCGAATAGCAACGAAACTGGTAGGCCTCCATCTTGCGGGAAAGCTCATTCAGCATGCCGGTGACCCGGTCACGCAAAAGCTGGCTCACGCGTGATTTCGGAGCATTGCGGTAAGGCTGGCGCGGGCGGCGGTTACGTCATTGTCGATGAGTTCCAGTCGGGCGCGTTCCACCTGGATGGGGATGTTTGGCGCGATCGACGTCATCCGGCTATAAAGCACCAACGCCCGCCGACCTTTGCCAGCCTTCGCCCGGGTTGCTTGATTGAGCAGCAGCAGGCGAACAAGGATCGCCCGGTTCTCCATGGCCACTACGTGCCGCACTGCAGCCGAGGCGCCGCCTTTTGCCGAGGCCAGCAACCCGGTGATCTGTTCGACACCAACGAGCGCGCCTCCGCGGAATGGATCGATGATGACAGGTTTGGCCTCATGCCCGACCATGACGAGTCAACATGCCCAGAACGTTCAGTATCTCGGCGGCTCCAGCTGATGCGTCGAGCCGCGGCAACGTACAGGATCGACAAGCTGATCGGCAGACCGCGCAGACGGTCAATAACGCGGATCAGGTCGGCATTGTCAGGATCGTCGTACGTCTCCGCGTCACCTGAAAAGCCGAATTCCTCCGCGAGCACCTGTGTGAGGCGGGCAGCGGCCCGATGCATCGACAACGCCGGCACCTACCCCGTCGAGCCGCGATGCAATGTCAGAAAGCACGTCCTCATATGGGCCAATGTCGATCTTGTCGATCGAGTAGCGCCAGCGCGAGCGCGGTTTCGTCCAGACGATGTCGTTATCGTCTACCAGACCCGTGTCTTCGAGATTATCCATGCATTCCAAGATGGTGTTCGCTTTAGTTTGCGCAAAGGGGGTAGGCCTCCAGCTGTTATCGGTCAGCCACACGGACACCGACCCAGATGCGGTCATTCCTGACGCCCCACTCGCTTCCCCAGTTTCTGCCATTCGCTCATCTTCCAATTACAGGGAGCATGCACAGTCGAGTAGTTTCCCCTCACTCTCCTTCAATGGACTTGCTCGCTTGCGCGACGCCCGAGGCCCATTTTCTGACTGGTTCCAATGTTACCATAGCGGGCAACACTATGGTCCGCATTGCCCAGTCCCGAACACTCATGCGCCCTCCTGCGAATTCCCGCATCAGACGACCTTCCAAAGCGTAGCCGAGCAGGGACGAACGTCACCGCAGACGCTCATTCGTGTGCTGCTGAAGCGAATGCCGACGGCGTCGTAATAGCAAGGAAACGTTACAACTGAATTTGGAACAGGGCACCGTTTGGCGCTTGTGGGCGTGATCGTTCCGGAGCTATGACAATGACCGATACCACACGACGGACATTCGTGACGGGAGCATGTCACCGCTGGTACCATTAGTTACGGTAGCGGCAAATGCCGCAACACAGGACGGTGGTAGTAGCACCGCAACGACGCCGGCAGCAGCTGCTTATCCAAAGCCCCCTATCCCGTACAGCGCCAGCCTTTGGCCCGGTTTGGCATCAAAGATGACGCCGAGACCGGATCACGGTGGAGAAAAGCCAAGGGCTCCGGGCAAGCTGGCAGGCAAAAGAGCCCTTATCACTGGTGGAGATAGCGGCATTGGCCGGGCTGCGGCGATCGCATTATGCGCGAGAGGGTGCCGATGTCGCGATCAACTATTTGCCAGTTGAAGAACCAGATGCTCGAGAGAAGTCATTGCCCTGATCCGCGCTGAAGGCCGCAAGGCAGTCGCAACCTGTGGATCTGCGCGACGAACGCCCTTGCCGCCGGCTGGTCCAGCAGGCGAGCGAACAGCTTGGCGGGCTTGATATCCTCGTTAACAACGCCGCACGTCAGCAGACGCGTCCGGGATTGCAGATATTTCGAGCCGTGGATTTCGACGACACGATGAAGACCAATGTCTATGCGCCATTCTGGCTGACGAAGGCGGCGGTCGAACGGATGAGCGCCGGCGCAGTCATCGTGAACACGTCTTCTGAACAGGCTGGCAATCCATCGCCTGACATTGTCGACTATGCGCTGACCTGCCGCAGTGCTGAACTTCACCAAAAGTATGGCTAAGCAGCTTGCCAGCCGCGGCATTCGCGTCAATGCCGTTGCGCCCGCCCGTTCTGGACCTCTACAAGTCAGCGGCGGAGCGACGCCCGAGAAGTTGCGAAGCTTCGGCGGGGATCTGCCGATGGCACGAGCAGGTCAGCCTGCAGAAATTGCGGCGCTTTACGTTGCAGCAGCCGATCCATCACTGAGCTATTCAACTGGCTAAATCTTCGGCTCGACCGGCGGAAACGGTCAGCCACGACGAGTGTGCTGCAACCTTTACAAGGTTGCGGCACAGATCGAGCAATCTTATTACCAATCCAATAAGCTTTACCTTAGCTGATCAACAGATTGGCCAATGATCTAGAAGCAGTAATTCGGCGCTGATTTGCGCAGTCTGAAAGCGGCCCTTTCAGGTCAATTGGGTCGAGCTTGGTCTAGACCGATCCGGGCGGAACGGACGCTAAACAGCGGATTGGGCGTGTCACATGGCCGCCTCCAGTCGGGCCGGGTCATGTTCGGATCGTTTCTACGGCGTGCTTTACTGAATGCTTGATCCGACCCAGCCCAATATGGCGATTGCGGCAGTCACGAGCGCCAACGCCACTACACTCGACAGCGCGACCAGTGTCGCGGCTTCCTTCGCGCGTGCCAGGGAGCGAGGCGAACAGCGACACGTTCGCGGCGATCGGGAACAGCGCGATCAAACCGATCAATATACGCTCCCGTTCCCCTGGGATGCCGACGAACGCCGCTTCTGATCGCCAGGCCAGAGCGACGAAGGTGATCGCCCTGATCTGTCGTAGCGCGAGAATGCGGGTAGCACCGCGCCATCGGCATCGCCGCCTTCACCTTCGCCAGATTGAAGCCGATCACCGCCATGCCGAGGACCGAAACTAGGGTCGACACCATGTCCGCAGGCGCACGAACGCTCTCCCGGCGCCTGAACACCCGGAAACCTTCAGCACGACGGCAAGGACGAACGCGTAAACAACGGATGCGCAACGCCTTGACGCGGCTTTCGCCTTGCCCTCCTTGGTACGCGCGACGAGGTAGTAGCCGACCGTATCGCCATACAGTGCCGTACCGACGAACGCACAGATGATCGTCGATACTGCCGCTTGGCCGAACAACGCGCGGGCCACTGGCATGCCGGGGAAGAACGCCACGTTGAAGAACGAGAAGCTGGCTGACAGTAGCTGCGGGTCGAACGCATCGCCAATCCGCTGCGACAACCATCGCGCCGGCAGCGCCATGATGGCGGCGACCGCGAACATCATCGGCGGTATCACCATCAGTTCGGCCGGTCGCCTCGCAACACCTTGTCGATGACCAACAGCGGATGAGTGCGTGACCAGCACACCGGATATGAGTTTCGGCGCGCCCGGCATCCACCGACCGCCCCCACGCCAACAGGATCACGCCGTAGAGCGGCAGAAATTGAGTCAGACGTCGCCCACCCCGCCGTTCATGCGCGCTCACTGTAATCTTGATAAGCATGTCTTTGCACGATCCGTTCGGCGCATTGCACGTTGAACCACACGGCGTTGGTATCGCGCTGTACGCCGTTGACGAGTTGTCCCACCGCATACAGGCGTGGCGCATTGCGATCGTGGGTGATGACGGCACCGCTATGGCGATGTGCCTCGATCCCGCCCGAGGGATGCGGGGTAGCCAGCCCTGTTCCATCAGTCGCACGATGAGAGTTGCGGAAATCCGTTTAGCTTCATCGCCGTGCCTGTCGCGTTGATGACGACCGGTGCGGATATTGCGCGGCCATCCGCAAGGCGGGACACGAACCCTTTGTCCATCCGGGTGCTGTATCGTCTCGGTCACGCCGCCATGCACCTGAAGCTGGCGCGCGCGGCCGCGTCGGCAAGGCGGCGGGGCGTTTATCATCGGCATGGCGGAACCGTGCCGTCGCGAAGTGCGGCGCCAACCAGCGTGTGAAGCGTTCGCGATCACGAGCCCCCAAGCAAATCTTACATCTCGGACGCTTGAACTCCGGGCGGAGGTAAGAATGCGCTGGAAGATTTCTTGCCAGCTTCTGCCGCGCAATGTCGTACGGAAGCAACCCGACGGCGGATCGGTGGATACGATCTCCGCCTGCCAGTCGATCATTCTCGCCTTGCGCGGCAGCCGCTTCTCACCCTCTTGCCGGAAAAGGCGGAAGAGATCGACGATCGAAAAGCGGGGCCTGCGCTCGCGGATACGGCGGTGCATCCCGGACAGGGGTAAAGTATCGGCGATAGGCTCTTCCGGCATCGGCATCTCGACGCGCGGCAGCATGCCGTCCTTCGACACGAAATGGATCGTGCCGTGATGATCCTGATCCATCAACGTCGCAAAGCTGTCGATCGCACTGAGGCTGCTTCCAAGAACGATCACGTCCTGCCCGGCATCGATGCCATCCCGCAAATCGCTGCGGGGGCCGTGGAAATCGAAAATATCCGGCGCCCGTCCAGTTCTTCAAACGGACCGGCTTCGGCGTACCGATCGCTAAAGTGTATAATGGCTCGATGGTCGTGCCGTCGCTCAGACGCACCAGTGCGGCGTCGCGATTACCGCCGATCGCGACCGCTTCGGCAAGGTGGACGAACGGGAATATCGGCATCGCGCGCCCGATCATGGGCATCCCGCAGGATCTGGCGGATATATTTCCTCCATATTCCGCGCGGGCGCATATTCGACCTCGTCGGGCATCATGGCGACGGTCGGCCAACCATTTGCGGAAATGCTCTTGGCTCGTTTGCATACAGTCCCATCAGACGGGATCTGGTGTTGAGCAGATGGCCGGGCTGATCCGTACCAAACGCCAGTCCCGGTCCCGGATCGTCATCGCGCGAAACGAGGTGCAACTCGACACGGGGGGGAGCGGTGCGGCAGCGAGCCGGATGGTAGCTTCGGCGAAAGCGGCAACGCCGCACGCACCCATGCCGATGATGGTAATCGAGAACGCCATAGTGCGATATCCGTCCGCGTGAGCGCCGGAGGATCAGGCGCAGTCCGCTTCAAAACATCCGTCGCGATCAGCGTTCCGTGATTTACGGTGACGTTTTGTTGCTGGGTACACACTGAGCCGAACTTGCTCCGAAGCGTTCTGTATGACCCAAAAATCGGCCACCAGGTCCATTTGGCAGCTTCCCGTAACCGGACATACGTTCATCGCGGTCCGACGAGCTGATCGTATCCGGCGAACCCGTCGTTTGGGCGTGCCCGCTACGGCACCGGCACGCCCAAGCACTCACATGTCCGCTGCGGTCGGGCGTACGATCATCCTCATTGATGTCGACACCCTCCGGCTGCTCGATGGCATAGCGAACGGCTCGCGCGATCGCATCCGGCGTCAGCGACTTTTGCGCCATCCGGTGAGTGCCGCCGCAAACCTCAGGATCGGTGATGTCATGACCCAGCTCGGTGGCGACCACGCCCGGCGAGATCACCGTCGAACGGACCTCGTCATGCTCCTGCCGCAGCCCCTCGGTAATCGCGCGCACGGCATGTTTGGTGGCGCAATAAACCGCGGCGGTCGGCATCACCATGTGCAGCGACCGGAGGCGACGTTCACGACATGACCGCTGCGCTGAGCCACGAACCGCGGCAGGACCGCGGCGATGCCGTTGAGGACGCCGTGGATGTTGACGTCGACCATCCGCCTCCACTCGTCGCGCTTGAGCGCAGCGAGCGCGGCGAGCGGCATCACACCCGCATTGTTGACCAGCACGTCGACACGTCCGAAGCGCACTTCAGCAGCCTCCACGAACGCGTCGAAATCGGCGCCGTCGGTGACGTCGAGTTCGCCCCGTGCGACGGTCTCGCCCAGTTCTTCCGCCAGTGCCTTCAGGCGCTCTGCGCGACGCGCGCCGATGAACAGCCGGGCGCCCGTCGCAGCCAGTTCGCGCGCAGTTGCCTCACCGATCCCGCTGGACGCGCCGGTGATGAGGACGACCTTGTCGATATTTCCTGCCATGATGCAGTCCTTCCGTTGTGGGACGGGACGCAAATGGGCCATTGCCCGTGTCAGGCGGTAGAGCGATCACCCTAATAGGTTGCACGATCCTCCAGTATCAATGCCGGGTGCTTGCCCACGACACGCGATTGGGGGAAAGGATCGTCGG